CGTGCCATGAGGTTGGTCTAGTCGATAAAGGATCTGTCATTGGATATGTAAAATTAAATATCTTTTTATATAACAGAAAAGAGAGCGCAGAGTAAAACAAACTTTAGTTTATGCATAGTGAGTAGATTAAAAGAAACGTTAAGACATGTATATTTATTGATCGAAGCGGATTTTTCCTTTTTTGTCGCGTTAACATTTTTATTATATAACAATTTTATTCTATAACAATTCCATATAGAATGCAGTTGTCAATGTCACATAACCTACCTTCTCCGACATTATAGCGCGGAGAGTTTGGTTTTGACGGAGAAATTAATCAGTCTGTATATTTAAATAACATATCTATATACTATTACGATGTGCATAGCTGGAATATTGATTTATTAGTCAGTGCCATCTCCTTGTACCGACATACCTCGTACACCGGCCATATTGTTTACCTTTGTAGGTTTGCTCTTTTTAGCTGAACTGGAATGGAATAAAATGAGATAGATATATATCTAGAAGTTAGAAAGAAAGAGAGGAAAAACGAATATGCAAATGAGAAGTACAGCTAAAAAGATCAAACACCTGTGATCAGTTCGAATTTGCATATTCGATGAATGAAATTACTTTATCACAGTATAGGCAGCGTAGTTCGAAAAACATAAACGTTCATCATAATAAAAAATTTAATCTATTAGTTTTGTAAAAAAAAAAAAAAAAAAGATGACCTTTTCTAAGGGACTTTTTAATGAAATATGTAAAGGAAAAGATTTATAAAAAGCACTTGAAATTATCAAATATATTATTCATTCAATCATAGAAGAGTATCTATACTTAATATTATCGTTTAGTATAAGTGTATAGAGCACGCGTGCAAATGTCTAAGCATAACCAAACAATTAACACGTAAACATAAGGAATATGTATACATATACACTATATATATATTTTGTGTTATATATATACATATTTCTAACACACATAAACACACACACACACAACTATTTAATAACAATTGTTTGATCAATTTTAAGTAGATTTTGCTTTAGCGATAATGTTATGGAAAATTGTCATTTATTGCAATTGTTTTTATTTCAAATTGTCATTTATTCCAATCCTTTTTATTATTTGTCTAAATAAACTACGTGTCATTGCGCAACTAATACGTATCGGAAAATAGCTGCGCAACGATACCTAACGACATCGTTAAAAGTTACAGAATAGGCCCCTAAAATATGTATATATTTGTATATATATATTCTATCACTTTATTGTATGTTTTATTATTTTATTTTATTGTAAGCTTTTTTTATTATATTTAAAATTGTATGTACTATGCAACCACGCACATTGATGCTACGCCGGATAGTCATAAAAATACTATTCTTAAATCGGAAATATTTATTTAACCGCCGTAATAATAACGGAGAAATGGAAAATGAGATTTCTTCGCTTTTCTCTCTCAACAAACATGCCAATTGGTGTCTCACGAGAGTTTCATTCATAAATTATACTTGTATTTTTCATCATATTGATCATGAATTACAAATCGGCTAGCAACAATCTCCAAGTGTGCATGTAGAGTTCCAAAAGACATCAATAACTATTTCAACTAAAAACTACATTTAGAAACATTTCTTCTTGCATATATTTTTGCAACTATTTTTATTTTATCATATTTTGTATATTTTTATATAATATAAAAGAACTAATATGTAAGATATATATAAATATCTAACTTTATCTTCTGTCTGTTTTGCCGATTCCCCTTTTACCAGTAAATAAGTGTTTCGGCATTTTGTTGCCAATGAAACGATCAGCTTCACCCTTGAGACCCTTCTTGGCTATCTTTTTCTTTAACGCCTTGTGTGCTATATTCTTGAGTTTCGTCTTCATCTGCAATGCGAATAAGTATAACATTATGCTTTTATTTATTATATATAATGGAACAATAATCAACAAGATCTTTCACATAAATAAAAAAATAATTAAAATGAAAGATTAAACTCAATGATTATTTCACTTTTTTAAGAAAAATTGAATAAATCAATCTACATATAAGTTAGTTTTAATTTAGTTTTTTCATTTTAAGATTAATTTTCTCAAATTTTTATGAATATGAATAGAAGCAATATGTTATATGCGATTAAATCTTCAAATATCTCTTTTTAACATACCACCACATCTTTAACACCCATTTCATCTCTCGGTGGTCTTGACATACTACGAGCCCGCGATTGTGACATCGATTCCAAACGCATACGTTTCATAGCGGGTTCTGACCGCGATCTTGATCGTCCTCTTGTTCGTTTGAAGTGTGCCTATAAAAAGAAAAGTCATAATAGTGTATAATATAATCTATAATATTGAAATACATACATACAATAGTATTAATAACAGTATAATAGTAATTGCGATACCACAATATACTTTACATAATTTTCTTGGAAATATTTTAATTCTATATAAATGTCAACACTTACATTTTTAATATCTTCCATATCCACACCCAAATCTTCCATCTGTCCCTTCAACTTCGCAACCGATCGGTCGCGGACCTTGGCCGCGGCTGTACGTGGCATAACTGGCTTCGTGGAAGCCTTCATTATCCGCGCCTCGTCCCTCATGATGATCTTCTTATCTCGAATCTGTTTTGCCAGCTGTTTGATCTCGCGCATCGTCTCCGACAATTCGGGCACTTTGTAATCGTACATACCGGCATTTTCCCTCAACTGTTCTTCCCTTTCCAATTGATTCAATTTCTGAAAAAACGGGAAGAACGACATGTTTTATCATGGCAATTGCAGTCTCATACAATTTGATAACATAAAGTTTAGACTGACCTCGAATATATCTGGATCTATGTAATCCGCTATGTTATGACCTTCCCAAATCTCTGGTATGATATCGTACTTTTGATCTCCCTCGATATCGTAATTCTTTTTCAGATTGAGTACATAATCGTCTCCCATCTCCTCTTCTATCTCCCTCTCCAATTTACGCTTTCTCTCGATTTTCTCTGCGGCAATTTGTCTTTTCTTTAGAACACTCTCCGGTATACACGGGACGCGATTAGGATTTATTTTTTTTGGTTGAGCAATATGTAATCGATTAAGAAGCCCTTCAACCTATTAATTATAGTAAATCGTATTACAATTGTGTATAAAAATTTTCTGGAAAAAAAAGCTTTTAGAGATAAATTACCTTTTTAGTTTTAATCTTTTGATCGACTCTGAAGGCTAACAGTCGTTCACAAGCCTCCAATTTTACTTCCATTACACCGAAATCGGTGATTGTACTCATTTCTAACATAGGTATGTTTGTATCGTCCTCGAGTGTTTTTAGAACAGCTCTTTTTTCCGGGGGTAATTCATTTAAACGTACAATATCCGTTTTGTTCAACACTATTATTAGAGGCTTATTCGTAAATAAAGGTTTTATGGATTCAAACAGTTTTACCTAAATAGATAAAACAATTATAATGCTGTATTAAGACATTATTATTGTTTCTTTGTGACCTTCAACTTACTTGTTCTTCTAAAGTATGACCGCATTGCTCGGACAAATCGCAAAAATAAAGCACAGCAGCTCGCAAGTGAGCAAGAGCAGTCACTGCTTGCATTTCTATTACATTTCTCTCTTCCAGCGGGTGATCCAATATTCCAGGTGTATCTATTACTTGCCACATCAAGTATTTATAGTCGGTATGCCCCACATATAAGGATTTTGTTGTGAATGCATATGGTTGAACCTCTACATCCGCTCGAGTAATCTTTAGATTAAGTCACATATAAAATTACATTAAATATTACTTATATAAGAAATATGAATGCAACAGTCATTATGTATTACTTACTTTATTGATAAAGCTGCTTTTGCCAACATTTGGAAAACCACATATAATTATTGTGCGTGTATAAGGATCTATACTTGGTAATCGAGCTAAGTGTTGGCGAACTTGTTCAAGATATGTTAAATTGGCTGCTTGTCTTTTCGTAATAGTGGCCATTCGGCCCAGGGCAGCTTTCTTTAACTGTTTACATCGATATAATGAATCTCCATACTTTAATAAACGAACATAATCTTTTGCCACACTGTAATCATAAAATAAATCTTGTAGTTATATTCTATGCGTGTATGTGTGTGTATATATATATCATTTCTTTACTTGTCAATTAGATGCCTGGCGGTATTTATCTGTCCAAGAGCTAACTTATAATGATCTTTGTCGTACAAAACATTCATTAAGTCGGCATAGAAAGGATGAACATCATCCAACTTAGGAAATTCTTGTATTATTTGGGATAATCTATCGTGAAAGTTCTGCTGAGTAAATTTCACCTTTCGCGTGTAAAATGCGCGTATTCTCGTGATTTTATATTGCTTGTGAATAACCGTCGGTGTCTTGCGTTGTGTCTTCGATAAAATTATATCGATAAAGTCCTGTGTGAAGAAAGCAAAATGTGATTATTATATATAATATTTTAAAAAACTGCAAGACATTAAATATAAAATATATCAATTATAATCAGAATCGACAATAAAATCAACCTTCGCAGGTGGAACAACTGCAATCTTCTTGAAATTATATAAAGCCATTTTTTGTATTTTTCATTTATTGTCCTTTGTGTTAGAAGAGCACTTCCTGTTTTTCTTTTATTATCTGCCTTTTTGGAAACACAAAGTACACGCACTTTATCTTTTTTTTTAATGAAACATTAAGAAACACGTGCAAACACGTGTTGTAAAGTTTCACCAATGATCACTAGTTTGAGGTTATAGCCGGCATAGCAGCCGAGAACTCGGGAGCGCAGATTTTTGTACAACACAAATGAACTTTTTCCGAACAGATCTTGGTAGCGTTTGCGACTTGCGACAGCGAGCTCCCTGAACGCACCCTAAAGCCCGTATCAGACTACGTATTGAAAATTGAAATTTGACCAATCAGGATAAAAGGAACTAAAATTTCCTTGTCCTGATTGGTCAAATTTCAATCTTCAATACGTAGTCTGATACGGGCTTTAGTTACATTTGATTCGTCGTGTGTCGTGTGTTGCATACACATTCGTGTTTGTAATTTGCTGACATCAATTGGAACGTTTGAATATTTATTTTGTATTTTTAATCTCTTTTGCGTAATGACATAAAGTTTTTTTTTCACGCGTGATGTGAAAAACTACAAGGTAAACAATTCGAAATAATATATTTCGGAACAGATAATCTGTGAGGGAAGAATTAACCTCTTTTTATGTGAATACAATTTGGAATTTTTTACAGAGAGATTACTGCGAGTACATCTCAGAAAATAAGCGAGAAACCGTGTTAATTAAAAATGTTTAATCAGAACAACACATTAAGGACAGGAACATCAAATACATCGAATCCCATGCAGGATTTCGAAGTCGTTTCGCCGCCAGACGATTCTATCTCTAGTCTGGCGTTCAGCCCGGCATCTATCCAACAGAATTTTCTCGTAGCCGGTTCCTGGGATTGCAATGTTCGCTGTTGGGAAGTCGAGCAATCTGGCAAGACGGTACCTAAATCAATGCAAAGCATGGCAGCTCCGGTCTTGGATGTATGTTGGAGCGATGTAAGTTCCTATTCATCAAATATTCTAATAAAATTTTGTATATGTAGTAAACCCTAATAAAATAAGTCATTATGATATTTACGTAAAAAATTATACTACTTAATTGTTATTAATATTAAACTGTATAAATATTGCCAGGATGGAACCAAGGTGTTTATGGCAGGATGTGACAAAACAGCAAAATGTTGGGATCTAGCCACAAATCAGAGCATGCAAGTGGCAGCGCATGATGCACCTATTAGAACTTGTCATTGGATAAAGGCATCTACATATTCATGTCTAATGACTGGTTCCTGGGATAAAACGCTAAGAGTTAATATTCATGAAATTTCTTTTGCTTTAGAGTTTATTAATTTATATTTTATAACTTTTTAATTGAAAAATGTAAACTTTTTAGTTTTGGGATTTGCGTAGTCCTAAACCTGCAATGACTATCAATCTACCTGAAAGATGTTATTGCGCCGATGTGGTAAGTATACATACATATATACAATAAAATTTGTTCTAACATGTAAAATTATACAAATTAACAATATTACAGGATTATCCAATGGCAGTTGTGGGAACAGCTGCACGTGGATTAATAGTCTACCAACTGGAAGGCAGCCCACGCGAATACAAACCAGTTGAGCTGAGCTTGAAGTATCAATATCGTTGTGTAGCAATTTTCAGAGACAAGAAGAAAGTTCCGACCGGTTTCGCGATTGGAAGCACAGAGGGACGCGTAGCGATTCATCATCTCAATCTTAGTACAAAGGAAAATTTCACATTTAAATGTCATAGAACTAATGGTACACCAAACGGATATCAAGATATTTATGCGGTTGGTAAACATTTTGTTAAAATCACGTTTAAATTTTTTAGCTTGCATTTATCCTTTTACAGAAGAACTTTAATTTCTTCTAATTGCAATAATGTTTTTTATTATTTATCAATTTATGCACAGGTTAATGACATAGCATTCCATCCAGTACACGGCACTGTAGCAACTGTAGGTGGTGATGGCACTTTCGGTTTCTGGGATAAAGATGCACGTACAAAGTTAAAATCATCTGAAACAATGGAGCAACCTATCACACATTGCTGTTTTAATCACAATGGACAGATATTTGCATATGCTGTTTCTTACGATTGGTCTAAGGTAAGTATCAAAATACAATAATAAAAAAATCGCATTTTATTATTATTAAATTAATTGTATTAAATTTATTCTGCATCCTTCATCTTACGCACGGCACCTATTAACCCATTACTTTATTTTAGTTTTAACATTGTGAGCCTTTATGATTTTATTATTAAAAAATTGCATATACTTAATATTATTATTAACGAGATTTATTAATATTTTAGGGACATGAATACTATAATCCAGCAAAGAAGAATCAGATATTTTTGAGACCATGTTACGATGAATTGAAACCGAAAGCTTCGCCCTAGGCTTGTTGAATCCCGAGGTGAAATTTTCACCGGACAATGTATGAATTCAAATATAATCGCGAGAACTTACACTTTTCAGTAGATACATAATGTTTTATTGTTTTTTTTTTCTTACTTATTAAAATTGTTATAATATTTAAAATTAATTAACACATAGTGCGTTTTACTATATAATGGGAAATGACATTAGTGCATATCGAGATCACTCATCGTTCAATTTGCATCCACTACGTATCCAATATTTGTATCTACACAATAGCCTGACTATTATATAGATACAAATATTCCTGTAGCCAGTAGCAAATTAACATAAATACTATTCAACATATTTATTTACACATATTTAATTACAAAATCTTTCTTCCCGAGAGCTACACTTTTCACGCTTTGAATCGTATGTAAAACAAAATGATTTGGGTTAAATGATAAAAGATATAAGAAAAGAAAAAGCAGCGGATGTGCTTCTTTTGACGCAGTTTTTACGTCGCAAAATCAAATTCTGTCGGATAAAAATCACGTTTCAAGCAATTTTTTTTCACGTATAGGTGTTCAAACTTCCACGCTCTCACCAGAGAAAATTGTTATAATCAAAATAAACTAAAAAAAGATTAAGCGCAGGAGGTAGATATCTTGCTCGTCGTTTAACTACTAACTGAACGAGGAATTGAAAGGAACGTGATTTGTGATAATTATTCATATTTGTAGCGAAGCGATTATATTATATAATCACAGAAAAAGGGTATTAGTTATTTTATTCGCAGTGTTGACATACGTGTAGAATGTGCATAATTTACGAATAAAAGAAAAAAATAATAGAAAATTATATCGAGATCACTATTTGCTTATATTCAGATTGTATACACAAAATAATATAGTTACAACCAAATTGACCGAAAAGAATGTAACAAAGAAATTTCAGTCCTTTTTGTTCTGATTGGTCAAATTTCAATCTTTAATCTTCAACCTTCAATTTTCAATGCGTAGTCTGATACGGGCATTCGTTACTCCCCGTCTAAACACCACTAAAAACAGTATACTCTCCTACTCCTACAGCCTTGTTACTGCCATTGTAGACGGCCCTTAAAGTTTTCCCGACCGTAGCCACAATCAAAACGTGCGCATGCACGGCAATGTATGTGTACACAAAAGTATGTATACTACAGACACGATGCTTGTGTGTGTAGTTACTCCCGAGAGAGAGGCAACTACATTTTCTTTCTCACTTCCTTCCGACACTTTTCAGCCTGCTATTCCCCTTCCATTTATATATGTTCTAAGGTTGCCACCCGCGGACGGAAACGGACGTGTTCAGACACGTTATGCGTGTATTCTTTGGATTTTATTTTTGAGTTTTATCTTCCCCTTCTAAAGAGGAATTCTTTCTAATTATTCACTTAACCGTTATTGTTCACTTAACCCTTCTCACCTGGCCGAATGGTGGGTAATTACCTAACCAGTGCCAATCAAACGAAGAAGAAGAAAACATGGACGATTAACGGTATGGGAAATCCCTTTTTCTATGTGTATTTATACCTGGGCATAGTACAAAAAATGCAAAAATTGTACAAACAAAAGAAGCCATTACAATAGAAGAGTGGAAAAAGTTTATAATTGAGAATTGTATAGAGAATTGTAGAATTTCTTACAATTTATAATAATTATATTTACACGTATATACACGCATTTTCCGTTACAAAAAATTAAGATTCCTTATTAAATCAAAAAGAATTATCACAAAAAGAAAAATAGAGCGAAGCAAGCATTGAAATTTAGTTCATTAAACTAGGTCACTGATTTGTAAGTAAAATGTACTTTTATTCTAGATGTTCATAATTTTCTTCTAAAAATATACTTGTTAAATAAGATTAAATTTTATACCATATTTTACTAGATATTGTTACATTGCATTTATATAAATAAGTGTGATATAGAAGTGTATGTATAAGATTCAATTTCTAATCAATATGAAATGTGTCATAATTTTTTATGTATGCTTAATCAACTTATTACGATCAAATTATCTATTTTATTGCTCTACTATTTTATCAAAGGAGAGCATAGAGTAAAGACCTCATTAGAGACAATCTATAATCTGTGACAAAATTCAAAACAGAATTTTACTTATAATTTTATGCATAATGTATAAGTGAATCCTTGTGATATATACATATTTTGATTTGTATTTGAATTTTACTTTTTCCATTATTTGACATATATAATTTATAAATAACATTTTGTCTTGAATTTGCTGCAGATTATAGATTGCCTAAAAAGGCCTTAACAAATTTCTTTAATTTGAAAGTATAATATTCGATATATTTTTTCATTCATATTTCTGAATAATAATTAATTATTGTTCAATTATCGTTTATATATAGAATTATAAGGGAACAATGAATTAGGTAATTATTATAGCTATAAGTTGATTTTTGAACTTTAAGATATAATATTATGCAGTCTAGGAAATTATTATTAAAATAAAATTGAAAAATGTTCTTTATTTTTATTTAAAAAAATAAAATTCTTTCATTGAAAATAATTTTTTAAATTTTATCTTATTTTTCCAAGTCTTTAGAATTAAAATTAATTTTTTAAACTGTTTTTAATTGAGCATAATAATTGGGAAAATTAATATAGCAGTGTTTATACTTAAACAATTTTTTATAGTAGTCAATAAAAAAATCATATACTCTGAGGATTAAATAATGATTGCACTGTATAGTTTTAAACATAAATTGATATAAAATTATGAAATTATTAGAAAAGATTAATGTTTTTTGAGATATAATATTCAGTATTCATAAGAATATATATATTATTGAACATCTATTATTTGCAGGGTTGAGGACAAAGATGATGTCCACTATAAATGAAGATGAAATTTATCATTGTCAAACACAACTAAAACAAAACAGATTGTGTTATATATGGAATATATCCGATTTTTGGAAAATTTATAAATTTGGTATTGCATTATACTCTAGCGAAACTAAAAATGGTTTTCAACTTGAAATGTGTCCTTTAAATAATAAGTTAGTCTTTTATGGTACATTAGTTCGATCAAATTATATTAATGTCTCCTATTCTGTTTTTGTGAAGACTGATAAAGGAGAAATGACTAATGTATTAAAACCAACACTTATAACTATGAATTATAATGTAAATAATCTATTATATGAACTACCTATTTCACTTCTTTTTGATAAACATAAAATGTATTTATCACATGACAACACATTTACAATATGCTTTGAATTACATACATTTGTAAAAACATATAACAATAGTATATCTCATTCGTATACTAATACTATGTCAGATACAGATATTTTTGTTTCTAAGGAGAAATCCGACTCGTTTGTTTCGTTTATAATAAACAATGAACGTCTTCAAGCAAATAAGAGTTCACTATGCTTAAAAAGTAAAGTCTTTGAAGCTATGTTTAACTGTGGTCTAGAAGAAAGTGTAAACAATGAAGTAGTAATAACTGATATAAAATATGATATTCTAAAAGAATTATTATCTTTTGTACAAATTGGTCATCTATCTAAAACGCTGGAAGAGATAAATTTAAATAAAATATGTGAACTTTTTGTAGCAGCTGATAAATATGATATACAAGATCTTAAATTAATATGTGAACAATCTTTAATTATAAATACGACAGAAACAAACGTTGTAGAACATTTAAAAATCGCACATTTAAATGATGGAAAAATGTTGAAGAAATATATCAAAGATTTTATCAAATTATATTCAAAAGATATTGTGGATATCTCAGAATTTATAACTTTAATGAAAATGTATCCTGAGCTATTAACTCCATTGTCAGACTAAAGATATTGAGCAGATCGAACAAAATGTTGTAGTATCTACAAAATCAGTAATTGAAAACGTCATACATGGAACTTTTACACATCGTCATATATATAAAACCGAATTAAAATATAATTCTACTTTCTTTATAGAATATGTTTTATATTTCACATTTAATTTCCACATTTCATATTTGCATGTGTTATCACAGAATAAGCTTTTTAATTTATAGTATGATATAATGCATTCCTGATATTAAAATATAGTTCTTTTTTTAATTTCCATGTGTAGATATGTAAAAACTGTTCTTGGTTTTGTATGCTTTAGAAAAATGCAGGAAAAACAATGAAGAGAAAAAATTTAGTAAGCAAATGTTTATTTTATGTTATATGCATTATATTATATATTATATATGTTCATTTAATGTATATTAAAGAAATATATTAAATATACATTCTTAAATTAGCATGTAATTGGTCTGGACTTTTATTGTTCCAAGTTATGCGCGATTATCTGTTCTGGCGAATTCCTCTGGTCTTAAAGAAAAGGATATCTATGTAAATTCATATGTACATAAGTTGGCAAAGTTACTGCAGTAAAATACATGTCACATTCTACTATAAACAGAGAAACGAGCTTCTAGTTATATCTTGATAATGGATTAATGACAAAACTCGTATAAAAAAAATCTCTTTTTAATCTACATATGTACATTACAAAAACTTGGTGTTACAAACATAAAATATAAGAAAATTTTTTTCAATGATTAATACATTATAATTGACTTATTTGTTCATTGTATCACTTTTTATAGAATTTTGTGCATTACCAGATCCATAAGTACGATCCCACTCAATATAAATGTTCAAGTCTGACTGAGATACGCTAGGTCGCACATTGATCAGTGCTTGCTCGAAATCGCAACTCGTTATATGCCTTACTTCTTCCATTTTAATATCTCCCAACTGATTGAAAGGGATACTTCGAATCGGCTCCATGCTCGCTTCCTTGCATAAATTCGTCATGTCGGCGCCGGAATATCCTGCCGATTTTTCTGCGATCTTCACGATATCCGCTTCATTGAGATTGTGGCGTACCGAAGTTAATAAATTATTAATTATTTGTTTGCGTGCTTCGAGTTCCGGCAGAGGAACGTACAATCTCTTGACGAGACGCCGTCTCGCTGCCTCGTCTAACTCTTGAGGCCGATTGGTTGCGCCAACGATCAGAATACGATCATCCTCTGAAGTAGTCGCGCCGTCTAACTGTACCAGAAACTCTGTCTTCAGCCTCCTAGAGGATTCGTGCTCTGTTTCCGAACGTTGCGTCAACAACGAGTCGATCTCGTCGATGAAAACAACAGACGGCTGATGAACCTTGGCCACCGCAAATAGCGCGCGAACCATTTTCTCGCCATCGCCAATCCACTTAGAAGTCAAGGAGCTCGCTGAAATCGAGAAAAACGTGGACTTGCTCTGTGAAGCTATGCATTTACCGATGAGAGTTTTTCCTGTTCCAGGTGGACCAAAGAGTAGAATCCCTTTGGGCGGACGACGAAGACCAGTGAAGATGTCCGGTCTCAACATAGGAAATACTACCACCTCTTTAACGATCTTCTTGATGTACTCGAGACCGGCAATATCGTTCCACGTTATCGCCTTACCCGATTCCATGATTTCGTTTCTAATCAACTCGATCATGTTTGGATCGATATTCCTTAGCCTCTCGTCCTCCACCTCTTCTGCATTTGTTTTTTGTAGTGGAGTATTACTCTGCATCGAATTCTCCTTATCTCGTTTAAACGGACAGACGAACTGAGAATTGACCGCTGAACGACCACCTAGAGTTTTTTTCGGCGCCGATTTATTTCTCTTCATTTCTTGGATATACAATTCGTCTCTGGCACTCCTGAAAGAGTCGAGTGCGCTCTTTTCTGTTTTCGTGTCTTCATTCACAGCTCGTTTTAATTTTGGTGCTTGTGGATTTGTACATCCGTACAAGACTTCTTTTGTATCATTTGTATTATTATTGCTTAATATAGGTCTTTTTTGTACAAACTTATTCAAATTCTGATAAGAAGAGTGCCTGTTTGATTGTATTTTTGATGCATTCTGTTTAATATTACTTATATGCTTATTAGAATTGGCATTTTCATGGATATTTGTGAAATATGTAGATATATTTTGTTCACTATTATTAGGCTTCAACAAAAGTTCTTTATTTGAGTTTTGATTAGAAGATTCTTGTAATTGCGAAGATATTTTTCTTTCTTGTATATCTTTACTTCTCTTTGTATTATTTACTATTTTTTCTATGTCCCTATCATAATAAAATCTTCCTTTACAAGGTAAAGTATAATTTTTTTGACAAACCAAAGGTTTGATAAGATTCAGTGTAGCATCTTCATCCTCTAATCCCGATTTCCATTTCAATGGATCATTTTTTATATCTTGCAATTGAGATTTAATCTGTTTCCAATAATTGTTTATTTTGTTTGTATCTGTCATTAAAATAAAATAATCTTCAAGATCTTTTTGTAAAAGTATTGCTGCTGTATCCTCTGAATCACTGTAATGTGTAATATTTTAAAAATAAATAAAAATGTTTGGTGTGGTAAATTTTTAACAAGTGATAGAAAACTATAAGTTAACTTACAATAACTTTGCTGTCATATTTTTCATAGCAAGAGACCTGCGTTCAATGTCTATGATATCGAAATCTTTATCTTGTTTTGAAAATCTTAGCATATGATAGGCAGCCAGAATATTATCTTTTCCCATCTTCGAGTTTTGTGAAACATTTATGTTCGCGTTATTGGAATTCATGTTTCTGGATCTCTAATAAATAAAAATTCAATAAATTTTAATTAGAAATATATTTATAACATAATGTATCTCAGGATAGCTTGGATATCATTGTAAAGGCTGATTTAAGCAGGCCGTAACTGTTAATTTATGCCGGAACCGTTAAAGTTTAACACTAGGATTACAATGCTTTTGTTCATAATGCCATTATGAACAAAAGCATTGTAATCCTAGTGTTAAACTTTAACGGTTCCGGCATAAATTAACAGTTACGGCCTGCATAAACCAGCCTTTATTCAAATTTCACATCTATACTTAACGAATTCATTTAGCGCTGTAATTAAATATTTTTTTGTATACGTTTGATAATGTTGACAATCAGTGACAATTGTTATTTTTTATAGCATAATATATATATTGAATATTTAGAGAGCACACTCACAAGCAATATTGCGTATTGGAGAGAAATTTCTTCAATGAGATTTTCATGCGCATGCGTGAATCATATAAATATTGTCACGCAATTGGCTATCAAATATAGAGAATTTTTAAAGTCCCGAAAATTTTTTTATTTGATAGCCAATCGTGTGACGTTATGGCCGTGTTCCGAAATTCATGATAGTGTTGGAAATCTATAATTATATAACGTGAACTATAGATTTCCAGCACTGGCAGTGAATTTCGGAACACAACCTATGTTTATGTGTGTTCTTGCTGGAAAGCTTCCAGAATAACGTTTTACTTTGTCCCATTTGGTCCCATTAGCAGACAGAAATTCAATAAAAACAAGAGAAGAAATGGAGTTTGTGCATTCTGAAGATACACACGACGAAGAAAATTTATATGTCTTTGTAAATATATTTATAATTTATAAAAATGTTTTATATTTATAATCACATAATATTATGTCTGTTAGTATGTATGTAACCTTAAAAATTTTGTTAAACAGAATGAGGAGGATTTACCATACGAGGAAGAAATTTTACGAAATCCATTTTCAGTTAAACATTGGCAACGCTATATCGATCACCTAAAAAATTCAAAGAGTAAGAATTTAAATGTAGTATATGAACGAGCGTTGAAAGAACTTCTAGGCAGGTAAAATCATTTTTTTCACTTTTTTTTTTTTATGTGACTGCTTGTGCATTTACTTAACATTATCTATTATTTTAAATATTACTTATTATATTTATCATTTATTACAGTTATAAGTTATGGTATAATTATCTTCGACAACGTATGAGCCAGTTAAAAGATCGATGTATAACAGATCCGTTATATGAAGATGTTAATAATGCATTTGAACGTGCTTTGGTATTTATGCATAAAATGCCACGCATATGGATGGACTATTGTACACTAATGACTGAACAATGTTATATAACACGTCAGGTATTTGATCGTTCTCTTAGAGCACTTCCCATCACTCAGCATCATCGTATATGGCCATTATATATTAATTTCTTAAAGAAACATAATGTTTATGAGACTGCTGTCAGGGTCTTTAGAAGATATTTAAAGGTAAGAACACTAATATATTTTTAATAATACTAATATTTGTAACAATTTATATTATAATTAATACTATTATATATTTGTCATGTTTTTGATTAGTATAAATATATACGTTAAGAGTTGAGAAAA